AAAATGTAAGGAATTTCCAGCTTGGGCCTGAGTGTCTCCAAATACAGCAATGATCTGAGATATCCCAGTGATGTCATAGGTCACAGAGACAATATCTCAGAGATGAAAGGGACCCCAGAACTTATATAGTCTTACCAATATCTTCTCTTTATAACATACTCAACACATGTCCATTTAGCTTTCACTTGAATCTGGACTGTTGGATGTTTTTATTCTACCAGGTGATTGGGGAACCCATTGATCTGTTGGACTGGAGCCCCTCCCCTGTCTAGAGCTGGGCATATGTTCTTTGGCTTTGTGGGGAAAGACATATGCTATCACTTCATGCTAAAGAACATGGTTGGCCAGTTGCTCCTGGATGGTTGAGTGGTCCATGGAGCTGGAGTTGGGATTGGGGGTGAGTAATCAGACCCTTGGGAAAAGATACAAATTGAATGGTGCCCTCCTTCAAAATGGAAATAGCAGATAATAATGGACTCTTGTAGCTGGTAGTCAATCCTGATAGCCAACAAAGATGTAGAGACTCTGCTGAGTTCTCACTAAATGGTTTTGTTGCTTAGAATTCTGTGGGTGGTAGAGTCATATTGGAAGCCTTCTTTCCATCCTATTATGGCCAGAAAACTCACCCAAATGCTGAAGTTCAAATGGCAGCTTCCTGAAGCCTAATAACCCATCACGCGGGATGGGATGAAAATGAATCCTTTGGATGCCCTATCCTTGGTGCTGATAGTACCTGCTCTCCGCCCACGAGCTCTTCACTCAATGAAATTAGGTGTGGACACTATATATCTATTTGAGGTTTTCTTGGCAAATATATTGGAGTGGTTTGCCATTTCCTTCTCTAGCTCATTTTCCATGAAGAGCTGGACATGACTGAGTGACTGAATAACAACCACCATATATCCATCTGTGAGACCCTCCCCCAATAAGCTCCATCTATGGGTTCCTAGCTATAGAAATGGGACAAGGAGATTGCTAGTCAGTTTGTACATTCTCTCTTGAGTGTCAGAGCCCAGCGTTGCTCAGTTTCAATTGAATTGAATTGAGGTGGATGAAATTAAACTCATTCAATAAGGATTGATTTTTTAAATTTTTTTCAATTATTAAGCATTTATTCCCCCTCCCTTGGAAAAAAGAAAAACAAAACACCTTTAACAAATTAGTCAAACAAAACACATTTTCTTATTGTCCAGGTCCAAAAATGTGTGTCTCATCCTGCATCTTGTGTCCATCACCTCTCTAGTAGGTGGTGGGGAGCATTTTTTCACCACTGGTCTTCTGGAATCATGGTTGCATTAATCAGATCCCATAAGCATTCATTAAGCCCTGTCCTATGCAAGGTTTAGTGAAAACAAAAACGGAACGAAAATCAGGCCCTGCCCTCAAAGAACTTATATTCTCCTGGGAGTCAATGATATGAGTAAGAGAGCACATGAGGATACAGGTGAGAAAACACAACTAGGGAGATCTGGAAAGCCTTCCTGTAGGAGTGGACTCACGAGCTATAGCAAGCATGATTGAAAGGGAATGGTTGGTCCTTTTCCTCACCATCTCTTCCTTACCCTCAAAAATGCCACTCTCATCAACAGGCCGAAGTTAAAGGAATTTCTTCACTGAGAGTTGTTTCCTTGGGTTGAAGTGCTGTGTCTGCAGAAGACCACTGTTAAAATGCCTTTTGAGCAGCCTAATGCTTTAACTCGACATTTTCCATGGTTGCCAATCGTTTATTATGTTAACTGGACATGGGGTCCACAGTCAGGTTGTTGTCCTCTTGTTGGGGGAGAACATGAGTAGAAAGTTTCTTGGATGATTCTTTTGCATTAAATCCTCTTTAGCACTAAAGGTATGGGATGACATGGTAGACTTCTGGCTCTTCATCACCTCTGTTTGCCTTGGGCATGTTGTGCCTCAAACTAGCCCAACATGCATTTATTAAGTGCTTATAGTGTGCAAGGCCCTATGCTAAGTGCTGGGAATATAACAACAAACCAGTCTCTGTCCTGTCCTGTCCTGTCACATTCTACTAGGCCTGAAGGAGTTCTTAGATTGGAGTTGGTATGCTCGTTTTTAAAACAAAATTTTGATAACTGCATTTCAGTATAATTGGTTTCCTTTGTGAGCCTTTGTATTTTGTTTCACGTATTTAAAGACATTCTTCTGAGAAAAGGTTCACAGGTTTCACCAGACTGGCATAGGGGACCAGGACATTGAAAATCCCAGGATTAGGGGCAGGCAATATGTAAACAGATCATAGCATGCATGATAACTTGGCGGGGGGCAGAAAGAGGGGAGAGAGACAGAGAAAGAGAGAGAAAGAGAGACAGAGACAGAGAGAGACAGACAGAGTCAGAGAGAGAGAGGAGCTGGAGGTGGATAATAAAATGCTAAGTTTGGAGATCAGCATGTAGTAGTTTGGCAGGAATGTAGAGCACTCGAAGCTTCCAGATGGCTTTAGGCTGAGGTCTAGCTCTTGGTTGATGTCTGAGACCCGAAAAGAAAACCTGCCTCTTACAAAGCAGTCTGTGCTGTGTTATGGTTAAGACCTGAGTAGACCCCTTTTCCCCAGTCCCATGTTCAGGGTTCCATTGTGTTCATGTGAAAGCTTAGACCCCAGGTTAATGGACTGCAAAATGGAGTGGGGAAACAGAGGCCCTGTTAGGGTTTGTAAAGTACCTGTAGCCTGGCTGGTTGGTAGTGGAATGGTTTCAAAGGCTCTACCCAGAGCAGAACCTGCTAGTTCACTCTAGGATCACCTGATAAGTGAGTGATGGATTCCCCTTTGGTGCAAATAGTTCCTGGAGCATGTCCAGAACAGGTTGGGCTTACACTTGGTCAGTATTACTTACCAAGACAAATGCAAAACCCCTACTGTCAGAAGGGGAGGAAAGCCTGGGCAGGTACTCTGTAGATCATTGTCCTACAGTCAACAGCCAAGGTACCCCCTGGAATACCAGTGATGCCCTCATGTTCATGGGGCCGGAACATACATATACTTACCTAATAGTAGGGACCCAACAACACTTTTTGTTTCAAAATAGTATTTTATTTTTCCAATTACAGGTAAAGGCAATTTTAAACATTCATTTTTACAAAATATTGAGTTCCAAATTTTTCTCCCTCCCTCCCATCCCTTCCTCTAAAGTATATGAAATTGGGAGGAGGGCAGCTAGAAGGAGCTGTGGATAGAGCACCAGCACTGGAGTCAGGAGGACCTGAGTTCAAATCTAGCCTCAGGCACTTACTGTGTGACCCTAGGAGTCACTTAACTCTGATTGCCTCTCAAAAACAGGTGAAATAACACATAGGGAGATGATGCAGGCCAGTAATTGGCCACCAGTTTGGGACTCAAGACCATGTACTATGATTCTTGTGTACAGTAAACATTTACTCTTACATTTGTTGAGGCAAAGCTGTATAGTTAATAGGAATCTAGCCTTGAAGCCACGATGATGAGTTTAAGGTCTGCCTCTGGCACATACTGGTGGTGGAAGCACCATGGAGCAAATCCCTCAACCCCTCAATGCCCCAAACTATTCTGACAGGGAAAGGGCTGACCTGCCTTGGTAGAAGGAATTTCCTTATCTGAGTGTTCACTATAGCAATGAAATCAGTTCCCCACCCTAGTCCTCCATCTTGGTGCCTTCCCTCTGAGACTACCAGCCACTCATCCCATCTTATCTTGTTTGTATATAATTCTATGTTGTCTCCCCTCCCTTAGACTGGCAGTTCCTTGAGGGCAGGGATTTCTTGTCTTTATATCCCCAGCCCTTAGCACAGTGCCTGGCACATAGTAGGCACTTAATAAATGCTTGCTGACTTGTCTTACTTGTTGATTATCTTTATTCTGTTGGATTTGTTAAGAGAGGGGGAGTATTATGGTATCTAAGTGGCTAAACTGGGTATGGGCTGGCGTAAACAGAGGCTAGTGGAGGCACGCCTCTATGATATTTACAGTAACTTCATTAACTTTAAGAATGTAACACTCCAAGTATATTATAGCAAGGATTCAGGAAAAGAAATGACAGATAGAAAAGTTAGGTAGTCCTTGGTCCTTGGGGCTGGTACATGAAATTAGCCAGATGCTACATGAAGAAGATGGATATAAAAAAAAACCCCACAATGCAGAATCAGCAGAGAACAGGTCAAGATAACCAGAGGATAAATTGAGGCAGTGATAGGTCAGCACAGTAGCACTGTTACTAGGACCATGGAGGACCATCTTTCTTCCAAGCTTGGACTTGGATGGGACCAGTGCAAGACAATGCAAATGATAACACACAGCAACCCAAAAAGGACATACAGCTCTGACATTTGTCACTTAAATGTCAGAGCTGTATATCCTTTCTCGGTTGTTGTATGACATTTTGGGTTGCTTGAGTGACAATTGGGGAGGAGCCACACCTTCTAGTTTGGGCTTTGGTGTGAGTGGGATGGTCCTCATTGAATACGAGTTGCAGCATCCAGAGAGGAAGCTGGACTCAAGCCATGAATACGCAGTGACTTTGGCCTCCATAGTTCCAACTAAAGTCATCAAAAGGTTGGCCACCAAAGGGTGATTATTTTGGTTCCAGCTAAGCAGAATTAATATAGTAACTGGATAATTCTTTTACATTGCTTCATAACCCCATCCACAATGGAAGGTGGAGACAGGAAGAAAGATCTTGGATTCCTGATTGGCACTTGGTTTCAATGAAGGCTACAGTTTCCAGGGAGGGTCCAAGAACAGTAGAAACTGGAGAATATAGAATGTTAGAGCTGAGCCATAACACAGAGGACGAACCTTAACACATAGAATGTTTGAGTTGGAAAGAACCTCAGAGACCACTGAGGCCAAAGATTCTTAACCTGGGCTCTGTGAACTTGTTTTTGTTGTTTTCTTTTTTAAAAATATTTTGCTATTAGTATTTCAGTATAATTAGTTTCCTTTGTGTTCCTATGTATTATTTTGTGCCTTTAAAAACATTCTTGAGAAACGGTCCATAGGCTTTGCCAGACTGCCCAAGGGGTCCAGGACATAAACAAGATTAAGAACCCCTGATTCAGACCAACATTCTGATTTGACAGAAAAGGAAACAGGCCTGGAGAGGTTGAATTGACTACTGTAAGGTCACATAAGAAGTTAAAGGCAGAGCTGGGAATATAACACAGGTGTCTTGACTCCCAGGCTAGTATTCTTTCCACTATTACCATATAGCATGTTCAAGGCACTTGAAATAGAAATAGCAAAGAGATTCCCTCGACTGAACAGGAAATGCAGAGGTAGCCAATGCTTAGGACCTAGTCAGCACTGGGGTTGATCAATAATGTTCTGGGGATGATCCTACTGGACAGTACTGAGAGCGAATCTTCTCCCAGGTGGTTGAAAAGGTTCTCTGTTGGACAGTTCCATCATCACGGTTCACTAGTTCTTCAGCAGGTCATCTGGTCCAAACGATTCAGGCAGTAGTTCGTCGACCATCTTGACTTGATATGTACCATCTGCTTTTGTCAAGTAGACATACCAATGTTTTCCAAACTAAAAAAGATACAGAAGAATCAAAAGGGACACTTAGTACAGATTTTAGACAAATGGCATCTGATCCTTTGGGATTACTCCTCACCCAAAGGATGGGGAATATTAAGGGCTTATCTGATCCTGGAGGGATAGGGTAGAGTGTCTGACCACATACATACTCAACCTCTCACTGAGTCGACATTGGGAGTGGGTTCCATGCAGAGCCATAGTACGTATCCCACCTCTGACACCAGCTGTGTGATCCTTGACTATGTCTCAGTTTCTTCATCTATAAAACAAACTGTTAAGACTCAGTGGCCTCTATAATTGTATGACCTGGGGGTCAGCAGACACAGATACCCTACAACTTCACCCTCATGCCCTCCATCACCTTCTACCCCCTTGCTAACAGGTCAGCACATTGACAGAGTGCACAGATGCACAGAATGCCTATGAAAGGTAAAACTCTAGGCTCTCTGCAGAGCCGCTCTGACAAAGACTGATTTAGGTGAGTTCCTTTCTTCTCTCCAGAAAAGGCAAAAGTAACTGCCCTCCATCATCCTTAAATAAGCTAGCTAAATGCTGATTCTGATCGGAGGAAGGGTGGCTGGCACAACTCAGGGAGCATTTCCCTTGAGTGGCATAGGGGAAAGAGGCTGGGATTTTAAGTCAAATCCTGGTTCTGCTGCTTATGAGCTGTGTGATTTTTGATGACAGCTTTTTGGATCTCAGCTTCCATAGCTGTAAAATATGGGGGCTGGACTAGATGTCTTAAGGTCCCTTCCAGCTCCGAGTCTATGATCCTATGACTAGCTTCCCTCACTTTGGTGGCTCTGTTAGGCTCTCCAGGTTACCATGATAACAGGTCATAGGATTCACCTCTTCCAGAGGAATGGGGCTGTATGTGAGAAATTTATGCTAATGTGGTCCCAGAAGCAGTTATTGAGAACATTAAAAATGTAATGAACTTCCAACATGCATCTGGGTGACCCCAGAACAACGCCTTCCAATATCTCATAGCAGTCACAGCAGTGGTCACAATCTTGGAGCTGGAAGGGGCTTCCAAGGTCATCTAGTCCAACTCATTTTACAGATGATCCATAACTGAACAAGACTCTCTTTCACTGCATACCCATCAAGTGGTCATTAAACCTCTCTAATTGGTCCTGTGCTGTCTCACAATCTTATCAATGACTTGGATAAGGTTTTCTTGGCAGATATTAAAGTCATTTGCTATTTCCTTCTCCAGCTCATTTTACAGATGAAGAACTGAGACAAACAGGGTGAAGTGACTTGGCCAGAGTCCTACAGCTATTAAGTGTCTGAGGCCAGATTTGAACTTAGGAAGATGAGCATTCCTGACTCCACACCTGGCATCTTATCCACTATGGCACCACCTAGCTGCCCCTCTTAACAGACTAGGCTGGTTCTAATAAGATGAAATTTGAGAATATTATACTGTTGCATTAATAACTAATTATTGTGATCCATCTTTTTTCCTTCTATTTTTTAAAATATGAAGGTCCAACTCCTGTGAAGGTCAGTCAGTCTCTGAAGGGTATAGCTGACTGATGAGATTGCTTCTAGACCTCAAAGAACATGCCTGTCAATTTGGAGTGGGACCCCACCCAATTAGGAGACCTAATTTCTATCTAGAATATAAACAAAATTCATTCTGGGACAGCTCTTACCCTGAGGGGAGGAACCCTTGTCCTTGGTCCCCTCCATTAGAGTTTAGAGTGAACCAGCTCAGGAAAGAGAAAGCCAGCCAGAGAGGCCTGGATGGAGTTGGATTCCTTGGCCCAAACTGCTGGAGCCTGCCCAGTAACATGATCAAGTCACATTCTCAGCAGGAGGAGCTGAAGATTCTCATCCACATCTTCTAAATGTCCACCAATCAAAGTTGATTTTCACTTGTCAGGGGAATCCCCTTGCAGAAGGTATTTAAGGCATTTTAGGGTCTCCCTTGAAGTCTTTGGTTACAGAGGGAAACCACTGACCATCAGTTTATTGATTGCCCGCTAGCCTAATTAATAAATTGATTATTAATTACCCCAGAAACTATCTCTCAAGATTTTAATTTGTGTCAAATTCAATTTAAAAAAAAATGCAAAGTGCTTTACAAATCTTAGTGTGCTAGATGAATGAGCACTATGATTAGTATTACTAGTATTGTATGCACATTTCTCTCTGCCCCCAAGTGCTACGTGGCCCTCCCCACTTACAGGCCCAGCAGGTGAGGAAGCCATAATAAAGCTGAAGTCGTCCATATGGACATCTTCTTTAGGATGCCACTCTGCTCTTGGACGTTCCATGACCCTGGTAAGCCCTGCCCCCTCCTGGAAATGCTGATTTTCCTTTGTTTCGGTTGAACTGATCTCAGTGTCAGCTGAACTGATGTACAGATGTCAGCTGTTCTGATCTCAGCACTCAGATTCATTCAAATTGGAGAACAAAATTTCAGAGGCAAAGGGGAGCCATTATACTCATTAGCTGCTAGAATGAAAACATAGGACATTTGAGCTGAAAGGGGCTTCGGAACACAGAATGTTAATGCCAAAAGGGACCTTAGGATGTGGAACGTCAGAGCTGGTAGTGACCTTAAGCTCATGGCATTAAAAAAATTGAGGGCTTTCTCTCGTACTAGATTTTTCTTCTCCTAAACTGCCTGGTAGCGTCTCAGGGCAAGTGTTCACATATCTCCTGTGGACCAGTGGAGGGGCACATATATTTCCAATCTGCAGTAAGCATTTCATACATGCTGCTGCCCAAATCGTGGAATTATTGTCAGACCAAATCTGTCACCTGGGCTTTTATGGATTGCTTTCAGGAAGGGAATTTTTCCATTTTGCAGGCTGTACCCTAGGGCCAGGGCCAGGGCCAAGCCCAGCCAGAGCCAAGATTTAGATGTGAAGTCCCTGGCTTTGTTTTTTATCTGAATTTTTTTTTTCCTAGTGCGGTATTTTTTTCCTGAAGCTTATTCATCTGAACCTTTCTCCTATGCCAGCAACTAATGGGTTTGGAGGGCACAGAGATAATTGGAATAGATAGCATTGGGAACTAGGAGTGCTCATCGCACCTGCTTCTGGGACGACCTCAGGCTCATGACATTGCTATGCCTCAGCTTCTTCCTCTTTAAAAGGGGTAATGGCATCAAGGTGCAAATTGTTTGTTTTCAATCACAAAGACATATTAAATGCCAAGGTTTTGCTTCACAGAACTAGCAAGTGGATTCTGTTCAATTTATCTTGCTTGCATGTGTTGAGGGTTATTGAATCACAGAATCTAAGTGCTAGAAGAAACCTCTGAAAGCATTAAGACCAACTCTGACCTGAACAGAGCTGAAAATGGGGAGGGATCAGGAGCCGGGCTTTGCCCCAGGGTGTTAGCATTGGGGTCCATGCCTTCCAGGTAAGCTTCCAGACCATTGTCCTCATGCTTCACAGTCTACTGTCAGCCTTGCCCCTTGCTTGACCCCATTCCAGGGTTCCCTCACCATAGTATCCCTTCCCTGGGACCCTTCATCTCCCAGTAGGGGTGGAGAGGAGGGGAGAATCTGTGAGGGCCACTCCTTTCTGGATATGACTGCACCTTTGATAAATTTGTCCTCTCAGCCTGTGCTGACGCCATCTCCTCCCCTACCTCCAACTCTTTCTGTCTAAGGTAAAAGAATTCTTCAGCCTGAGACAACATTCCTGGTAAGTGAGCACCTTGTCTCTGTCTGAAGATCTCCTTTTTCCTCTTTCTTTTCTTTTTTGGAGGCAGTTGGGGTTAGGTGACTTGCCCAGAGTCACACGCTAGTTGTGTCTGAGACCAGATTTGAACTCAGGTCCTCCTGACTCCAGGGCTGGTACTTTATCCATTGCACTACTTTGCTGCCCCTTGAAGATCTCTAGGGATGGGTAACCTACAATCTCCCAGGTCATACACATTCTATTTCTGCACAGCGCTGAGTATGAAAAATTTTTTCTTCAGATTGAGCTTAAATAAATCCATCTCTGACAGCTTCTATTTACTGCTTCCTGTCCTATCATTTGGGGAGAGCAAAACTCTTCTTCCTCTTGACTATATGTCACAAGTTTGAAAATAGGTATTGTGTGCCCCAAAACCTCCTTCTCTTTTCCAAGCTACATAGTTAGACCTTTCAAACAATCCTCACAGGACATGGTTTTGAGTCCTTTCCCCATTCTGGTTGTCCTTCTCTGGATTTGATCCAGTTTATCTGTGCCCTTTCTAAAATGTACTGCTCACATCTGAACACAGTACTCAAGATGGGGTCTGGCCAGGGTAGTGGACAGTAGAACTATCACCTCCCTTCTTCTGGACAGTAGACTTCCATGGACACTGACTAAGATGCTAGTAAGTATTTTGATTGCCATGGCTAATTTTTTGAAAATGAAGGCAGATGCTTCCAAATCCTAAGGGGCAAAGATGACAGGACTGCACATTTAGAGCTGGAATGGTCCTTAGAGATCATTTACATGTGTGGATTGGGATTCTACTTCCATCTCAATTAATGCAGTTATTGAAGTTACAGACACCTTAATTGAATCAATTAATCAACAGAATAAACTAGGTATTAAAGAATTTCTCTACAACCTCATCACAGATCCTTAAGTCATTTGAAAGGATCATGGGATTTTTAATCATTGCATTAAAGGCAGATAACACCACACAGGAAACATCTTGCCATTGGTTGAGAAGACCATGTCATGCTTCTTTGTGTAAAAATAGGCTGGTCAAGCAGTGGAAGACTCCAGGTTTAGGCCCCTAAGAGAGAATCACTCTTTTTGTTTTGTTTTGTTTTTTTAGGCTATTGGGGTCAAGTGACTTGCCCAGGGTCACACAGCTAGTAAGTGTCAAGTGTCTGGTCTGAGGCCGGATTTGAACTCAGGTCCTTCTGACTTCAGGGTCAGTGCTCTATCCACTGCGCCACCTAGCTGCCCCGAGAATCACTCTTGATAAAGGTTTCTCTCTTTGTCTGTTTCTCTTCTATGCCCTTTTCCATTGACCATGTCACTGGAGAGAAGAGAATGATCGGAGGTCAGGCTGGTAACTGAGAGATATCCCAAAGGCATACAGATGGTCACCTGAGAAAGGAGAGGCCAGTCTGCACTTTTGTCCTTCCACCTCCTCTCTTGGAGGTGACAAACCTTAGGGCTGATGTCCTGAAGGAGTCAAAGGGGAAGGGAAGCTGTCTAGTCCACTACATAGTCATGTTGGTCATGAACACATGGCTGCCTCTGACAATACATTCATCTGGGAACAGAAAGGCACACACCAAGCACAAGTATGGACAAACACAGACAGATAGATACAAAAAGACAGCCATCCAAGAGAAGATGTAGTTTCAAGGAGCATTACCCCTTGAAGATACAAACTCATGAAAGAACTTCCAATAACCAGCAGTTGTGAGTTTTCTACTTTGCTATGTGTGTAGGGAAGATGTATGCCTTACTAGCATCATACCTTGACTTTAAACCTACTTTTCCCCTTGGTTCTGTGGGTATTTGTGGATGAGTAACACAGATTTTTGGGGGAAATGTTTTATGCAAACTGTTCTTACTATATTATCATGGTAAATACTCTTTTCTAAAGGTTCATTGAAGTCTAGCTGATTGATGTCAATGTGAAGGAAACCAGTAGGGAGTCATGAGCTAGAGTACTAGAAACCTAATCTCTCATGGTTATCCTACTAGCCCTGAGATTCTGAATCAACTGACCCTCTCAGAGCCCCAAACCATAAATATGAGTTGGGGAAGAAAGCCCCAGATGGGGGTGCTATATTCAGATGATAAAGCTGAGGCCATGGTTGTTTAAGTGACCTGTTCAAGGTCACACAGGTCAAAAGTATTGGACTCAAGTCCTCTGACTCCATTACTGCATGATTTTTTCTACAGTACCATGCTACTCTCTAGAAGCCACTGCATGGCACCTCAACATTATTTCTCCATTTCCCTTTCTCCTCCTGCCCATAGCTGAGAGGACTTCTCATTAATTGTATTTCTTTCTTGCCTCAGTTGGACTTGGAGAGAGGTATGAACTCAAGTCCTGCTTCTGACATTTAATAATTGTGTGACTGGCACATAAACTTTTTGAACCTTGGTTTTCTTGTCTACAAAATGGGGATAATAATACACATAGTATCTACCTTACAGCATTATTGGAGCTTCAGATAAGCTAATTATTAGGTGAATTAGATAAATACTAGATAATTTCAAGAGAGAGAGAGAGAGAGAGAGAGGGAAGTAACAATGAGGAAGATCAGGAAGGGCTCCCTTGGCTTCTAAGAAGTGGAAGTCAGGAGGGAGTGCTTGCCAAGCACGGGGGCAGGCTGTGCAATGGAAGAGATGAAGGCAGTAGACAGAATGCCACATTGGGGAACAGCAAATGTAGGGTGCATGGGGAACGTCTGGGAAAGTTGGATGGTGCCAGACTTTAATAAAAGCAGCAGCTCTTGTTATTATAATTATTTTTCCTTATGCCTTGCTCTCAGCTCTGGCTTACTAGGCTGCCACTACCTAAGTGAGAGAGTTGGCAGGTATATCACGTAGCCAGTGACTCTGAGCTGCCATGACTCTGTGGGGGAGAATAGATGCTTTAGGAATCTAAGCTCCTTGAGGGCAGGGACTGTTGCACTTTGTGTTTCTGTCCCCAGTGTTTAGCAACAGCGCCTGGCCCATAGCGTATCCTCAATAAATGTTTGCTGAATTGAACTGAACTTGTCAAATTGGAAGGTAGAGTTCATATAGTCTGGAAGATTCAAGAATAGATGAAACTCACCTCTCTCATCACTTGTCTACAGGCTCCACATGGTGCGATAAAGTCATCCTTCACATTACTGGGAAAGCAAAGCACAGAATCCATCAATTAATTAATTAATTAACTGACACTTAACTCACTAATGGTTCATTGAACCAGACGAACTGGCCTAAGTGCTGCTATCCACATGTCATTCTATCTTTTAACTTCATGTCTTTGTACAAGGGGTCCTCAATGCTTAGAATGTTCTTTCTTTGACATTCTCTCCTCTCCACCAGAGACCTGAGCTTAAATTAAAGGACAGTTCAGGTGCTACCTTCTCCACAAGGCCTTAGTGCCAGTAATTAGTACTTTTGTATATGAAACAGTGGGGTGGCACAGAGGATAGCACACCGGGTCTGGAGTCAGGAAGATCTGAGTTCAAATTTGGATCAGACACTTACTAGCTAGCTGTGTGACCCTGGTCAAGTCACTTAACCTGTTTCCTCATCTGTAAAATGGGAATAATAATAGCTCCTACCTCCAGGGTTGTTGTGAGGATCAAATGAGATAATATTTGTAAAGCACTTAGCACAGTGTCTGGCACATTATAAGTGCCTATATAAATGTTAGCTATTATATACTTTGGATCTACTTATGGACATGTATCTCCCTCTCTCCCATTAGAATATAAGCAACAGCAGAGATGATTTCCTTTTTTTTGGGGGGGGTGGTATTCTTAGCACCAAGCATAGTGTCTTGTACATAGTAGGTGCTTAATAAAATGTTTGCTTTTTAAATGATCAAACAAAAAGCCATTCAATTAAATAGCACCCCAAGATAAAGAACAAGGGGAAATCTTCCCAAACACGTATAGGAATATACCCTTTTCAGATTCCCACACTACCAATGGAAAAAGGAAAATGCATATGGAACATAGTAGCCAGGGAAAACTGGTAAGGGACTTGTTTATTGAATTTAGTTGAATCAAATAAACCAATATTAATTAAACCTCTATTCTGTGATCAGCCCAGGAGTTACAAAAATTAAAAAAGACATCCTTGCCTTCGAAGAGTTTATAATTTAACTATAGGATTCTAGATTTAGAGCTGGAAGGGAGCTTAGAAGTCCCCCCTTATTTTACAGATGAGGAATTTGGGGCTTAGAGAGGTTAAATAACTTGTTCCAAGTGACCAAGGGAGGAAGTAGCAAGGCTAGGCTTTGAACTCAGGCCCTGCAACTCCAAAACCAGTATGATTTCCACTCTGCCTCTCATCTGGGAGATTAGATATGGGCACAAATAACTAATAATACAAAATGGATGATGATACATATATAAGCAGAGTACAGAATGCTGTGAAGGCAGAAATGCAGCATCTCAGAGTTGGAAGGGGCCTCAGAAGGCATTGAGGCCAGACTCTACCTGAGCAGAAACTCTCTATAGCTTCCTTGACAAGTGGTCAGAGAAGCCACTGCTTGAAGGCCCTGGTTAGGATGACCTCCCGGGCTACTTCGGATCATCTCTGATTGCCAGCAAGTGTGTCTTGATGTCAAACTTAAACTTTTTTCTTTGCAATTTCTAACCTCTAATCCTAAGGAGAGATCAAATCCAGTCGAGGCTGAGAGGGAAGGCTTCTTGGGGTAGAGGAGAAAGTGACTTCAAGAGGAGATGGACTTTGAAGAAGAGGAACGATGTCCAGAGATGGAGTTGAGGTGTCCAAAAGATGAGATTATGGAACACAACCCAGTTTGTCATAACTTCCGAACTCTTTTAGAAGGAAGTAAGTCACTCTGCCAGATAATTCATGAATCACAGGCAAGTGACGCAGATGGTGGGCAAACCAATAAAGAGACAAGCCTAGGCTTGGTGTCAGGAAAAACTTCCTAACAATCAGAACTCTCCAAAATGCAATAGGATGCTTGGGAGGTAGTGAATTGTCCCTTGCTGGAGGTCAGCAAGCAAAGTCTAGAGGCCCACTTGTCAGGTACCTTTTGAAAGGTAGTATTGCATATCAATGAGAGATCTGGGCCTGTCAATCTGAGTTCTAATCCCACATTCTACACTTACTATCCATGTGGCCTTGGGCCAATCACTTAACCTCTCTGAGCTCCAGTTTTCTCATCTATAAAAGAGGAACACTGATAAGTATAATAGCCATCTCACAGAATTAATGAAGTCTTCCAGTGAGGATAAGGCATTTTGAAAATGTCAAAGGGCTATTATAGTGATGTAGGGGCAATTCTGGAGTTGCAGCTTAAACTAGATGGTCTCTGGGGCTCTTCTAATGTCCTTTCACATTCTATGAACTTGCAGATCTACTTTCTAATAATGATATGAATGAACCAGAGAGGCCAGGTCTCCACTCATATGGCAACCACCCTAGTTGATAACTTCATCACCTTTTGTTTTGTCTGAACTATTAAAATAACCTCCTAATTGGCCTCCCTGCCTCAAGTCTCTCTCCTCTCCAGTCCATCCTACACACAGATGTTAAGTGATTTCTTCTTAAGTACATATCTGCCTACGCCTCTCCTCTAGTCAATAAAATCCAGTGTTTCCCTATCACCTCCAGGATCAAATACAAACTTCCATCTTGTAAAGCCTTTTATAACCCAGCCCTTTCCTGTTTCCCAGTCTTTTTATACATTACTTCTCTTCCTGATCTTTACAGGACAGCCGAATAAACTTTATTGCTCTTCCTCATCCATTCCATCTTTCATCTCCATGACTTTGCGCTGGCTGTCCACCACGCCTGGAATAAACTCCTTCCTTATTATTTCTGCCTCTTGGAATCCCTAGTTTCCTTCAAGAACTCGAGCTAGTTTCCACATGAAATCTTTCCTAAGCCCCTCCCCACAACTTCCTAGTGCCCTTCCCCCCAAAATTACATCATATTTTTTTGTATACATGTTTCTCTTGATAGAATGTAAGCTTCCTGAAGGCAAGGACTGTCTCACTGTCTTTTTACCCTCAGTATCTAGCACAGAAGCTAGGAGGCATGATGGATAGAACCCTGGGCCTTGGATCAGGAAGACCTGTGCTCAAATCCAGCCACAGACACTTATTAGGTGTGTGACCCCAGGCAAGCCACTTAACCTCAGTCTTTTCATGTGTAAAATAGAGATAATAATGGCAACTACCTCCCAGGGTTGTTGTGAAGTTCAAATGAGATAATAATTGTAAAGTGCTTATCATAGTGACTGGCACATAGTACAGTGCTATATAAATGTAAAACTATTATTATTACTATTATTATAATTAGTGATTTCCTACTAAATGACAATTGACTAGCACGGGAATATTCTTAATGAATTAGCTTATTGAGACTGATTGCTCACATTTATAAAATTTTAAGAGCATATACACCTAAAAATTTCTTGGCATGGGAAACCAAAGGCCATGTGTGTGTGTGTGCATACATACACAAATGTGTGTATGTATGCATGCATGCATGCATGCATGTATGTATGTATGTAAAATTCAAAGACTAGGGGTGCCTGTGCACAGAACTCAAACTGATTTATCTGTCTGTGCATAGGATGGTGTTTCCAGAAACTTAATTTGATGATTTTCAACCTTGAAATGGTGGCCTGGAACAGTGGAAAGAACCTGAATTTGCAGTTAAAAGATCTGAGTTTGAGTTCTGACTTTACAGATGGAGAAAACTGAGTGTCAAAGAGAGGAGGTGACTTGCTTTGGGCTCCTCTGAAATTTCCCTTGTAATTACCTTACATATACTGATATATGTGAGATATTGTTGTCTCCCCTCACAGAATCTAAGCTCCTTGAGGGCAGGGACTATTTGATTTTCAGTGCTTGCCACATAGTAGGCACTTAATAAATGCATATTGTTTGATAGCTTATATTGCTCTGTCTTGAGAGGCATTGGGGCAGCTCCGTGGCACAACAAATAAGAGAGCAGGGTGTGAAATCAGGAGACTCATCTTCCTGAGTTCAAATCTGGCTTCTGACACTGGCTGGGTGACCCTGGGGAAGTTACTTCACACTGTTTGCCTCAGTTTCCTCATCTGTAAAAAAAAAGCCAGAGAAGAAAATGGCAAACCACTCTAGTATCCGTGCCAAGAAAATCCCAAATGGGATCATGAAGAGTCGGACATGCCTGAAATGACTGAACAACAGTAGCATTAGAGGCATAGAGGCATAGGGGATAGAGATTTTAGGAGTCAGGATGACCTGAGTTTAAGACCTGTCCCTGACAAAAACTGACTGTGTGACCCTGGGCAGGTTACTAAACGTGGATGAAGAGTGCTGAGCTTGGAGTCATGAAGACCCGAGTTCAAATCCTACCTCAGACACTTGGCTGCTTTGTGATCCTTGCCAAATCACTTAACCACTTTAAGTCTCAGTTTCCTTATCTGTAAAATGAGTGGGCTGGATTTTACAACTTCTAAATTTATGATTCTGTGACTTAACCTCTCAAGACTCCCTTCCCCAACCCAGGCAAGTGGGTTGAATTATCAATACAGGGCAAGTAGTGATCTGCATTGGTGGAGAGACTTTCCTCACTGGAAGTCCTATATACAGGGGAAAATGCAAAATCTTCTTGCTAATAAGTGGCAGTGCTAGGCCTTGAACACAGGCTTTCTAACTGGGAAGCCAAGCCTTCTTTCAGTCCCCTGCTCCACAAGATTCCAAAGAGGCGAATGCTAATAAGGAAGAGGGCATTGTGTGTTCCCTCAGCTGTATGTGCAAGTCAAAATGGAACAAATGATTAGAGCAATCAGAGCTGAATTCTGGCTCCAGAAAGCAGGTGCCATCTGAATACAGATAATAAGTAACATGGCTGGATCCTGGAGATGTGTGTGGGCTTTGTTTTAATAAGGTAGACTTGCTAATCATTGCTAGGACCACATTCTTGAATGTCAGTAATAACCTAGAGCAAACAACCATGGGGAGGTGAGGGGTGGGTGGAAGGGAGGGGGAGATGTAAACAACTCAGTCTGCCACACCATTATCCTTTCCATGGCTCTGGCCTTATTTTCCTAAATATGATTAATTTCTTGGATTTGGCTCTGAAATTTTAATTTTTTTTTTTTACTCTACTCTCCTATCTTCTGCAAAATGTAATTTGCATCCTGATTCCAGCTCACTGGGACAAAATGTCCCTGGCAAGTCATTATTTGCTCTGGCCTGAATTATAGCCGACCTGCAGATAAACACAGCAGTGTGGCCTAGGAAAAGTGTCCACAGCAGAGAGGGAAGCAGGACAGTTTCCTCATCTGTAAAAAGAGCTGAAGAAGAAAATGGCAAACCACTCCAGTATCCTTGCCAAGAAATCCCAAATGGGGTCATGAAGAGTCAGACATGGCTGAAATGACTGAACAACAGTAGCATTAGAGGCATAGAGGCATAGGGGATAGAGATTTTAGGAGTCAGGATGACCTGAATTTAAGACCTGTCCCTGACAAAAACTGGCTGTGTGACCCTGGGCAGGTTACTAAAGGTGGATGAAGAGTGCTGAGCTTGGAGTCAGGAAGACCTGATGTCCACCAGTCACTCTCTCAAGTGATGGCAGATGGTCAGGAACTGCTGGAAAAGATTCCCTGGATCTGGATGTGCTGGTGTTGGGGGCTGTTAATGGTGGGGTGGGAGAAGGCCAGCATGGCTTATAGAATATTTTTCAAGAAATAAAATTGTTTCTTTAAATTTTAAAATTGTAGATTCATGGTCTTTTGGAAGCTTGGAAGGGGTTTCAAAAATTATCCAGTCCATCTCTGAGGATCAGAGAAGTGACTTGTTTAAGGTCACACAGCTACTTGGTGGCAGAGCAAGGACAAGAACCCATCTCCTCACTCCCAGTGAATGACTCTTCTCGCACTGCCTTCTCTGTTCCTTCCTCCCTCCCTCTCCTTCTGCTTTCTTCCTTCTCTTTTTTTCTCCATTTCTTCCTCTTTTCCTCCTTCCCTTCCTTCTTCCTTCCCTCTCTTCCTTTTTCTTTTACCCTCCTTCTTCCCTCCCTTCCTTACTTGCTCCTTCTCCCTTATTAAAAAAAAAAATTGGTGCCTTTTGTATTTTTAAACATCAAAGTCATTTCCTGATTATACTGACCCCATCCTCATTGAATCCTCACTTAATTAACTCCCTTCCTCGTTATTGTTTGTTGTTATTTTTACAGATGGGGAAATGGAAGCCAAGGAGACTGAATGATTTGCCCAAAATTAAATGAGTAGCAGAATGGGGATTCAAACCAAGGTCTTCTGACTCCACATCCATTCCTTCGCTTCCTTACTATGCCATATGGCCTCTCACTTCTACTGGTCTATGCTTTGTCCTTGTTAGTAATGGTGGCTTAGATTATCACTGGGGTCTTGTCAGGTCTCCTCTAATGAAGAAATAAGAATAATTTATTGTATACGACATTCTGTGTTGTAAGGCCCTTTCCCAGCTATATATCATTCTATTTTAACAGCCTGCATTGTAAAGCCCCTTCCTAGCACTGGCATTCTATGTTCTAAGGTCTCTTCCAGTTTTAGCTGCCTACCTATCATTCCATGAATTAGTCTTGGATGCTCACCTTGTAACAGCAATGGCCCGGAACTCTTTGTATCCTTCTGAGACGGCCTTTTGAATGGCAGTGCGTTCCGCACAGTTGCCTACTGGGTAGGAAGCATTTTCTACGTTGCATCCTGAGGATAGAGAATACAATTGACCAAATAGCTGGGTGAGGAGAGATCTCAAAAAGACCCAAAGTTAGAAAGATGATTCTCTAGGTCTAAACAAAATCACCCAGGTTCTAAAATGGTGCCAAGGATTAGCCCAGAGTTAAACCAAGGCGGGGACAGGATATTGAGGGGACTAGAAATCATGTCATAAAAAGAAATGTTCAAGGGATTGAAGATGATTAACCTGCAGAAGTCAAGACTTAAGGGATGTGATAGCTTTCTCCAGATACCTAAAGGGGGGGGGTCATGGGGCTGTGGGGTTAGCCTTGCTCTGCTTGGTTCCACAGGGCAGTCAGGAACAATGGGGTGGGGCAGATTTCAGCTTGAGATGTAAGGAAAGCCTTCCTAAGGATTGAAGCTCCATAGCAATGAGATGCCTGCCTGGGGACGGGGTAGGTGAATTAGAGTTTTTTTTAGTCATTGAAAGTCTTCAAACAAAGGTTGGACCACCACTTTTTAAGGAAGAAACAAAACCTCCAAGGAAGTAAAGCAAAAAATCAACACAAATTTAAGGAGGGGGACGGTGATAACATTGGAGGATATTCCTCCTGTCCTCAAGGAGCTTATAATGTAGTGGGGGAAGACAATACAGAAAGAGCTACATATGTGGTCAGAGAGTAGCTATGCGGCTATTTCCAGGTGCAGGGCACTACTGGGTTTGAGCCTACCCAAAGAAGGTGGCCTCTTGGACTCACCATTCCCTATGCCTTAAATATCCTCTCTCGTCATTGGTTGAATTCTTGCCCATCTCTTAAAGCCCCACTCACATGCCAGCTCCTCCAGAGAGCCCTCCCTGCTCCTAAGATCAGACATCTCAGAACACTTGGTGTGCATGTCTCTAAAGCCCTCACATGTAATGTGATGTATAATATTTACCTGGGATGGTATCTTGGAAAGGCAGAATAATATAGTAGGAAGAGAGGTGGATTTGGACTAGGAGAACCTAAATCTGAATCCTGCCACTTACTACTTATTTGACCCTGGACAAGTCACTTACTTCCCTAGACTTTGTTGTTTCATTTGTAAAAGGAGGGAGTTGGATTCAATAATCTCCAAGGTGCCCTAAATCTATGATCCTGTGATCCCTTTACTAGACAGTGGCCTCCTTGAAGACAAGAGCTGTGGAGCTACACTTTGTATCCTCTATAAGACTGAGCCCAGTGTTCTACACAGAGTAGATACTTAAGTGTATGTGAAGGGAAAACTATATACACAAAATGTGTACAGGTATGAATTGACCTGCACTGTCATTCAGTTAGCAAGCATTCATTACAGGGCAACTAGGTGGGGCAGTGGATAGAGTATTAGTCATAAAGTCAGGAAGACTGGAGTTCATATCTGACCTCAGACACTTACTAGCTGTGTTACCTTGGGTATGTCACTTAACTTCTGCTTGCCTCAGTTTCTTCATCTGTAAAATGGGGATAATAACAGCATCTACCTCCCAGGATTGTTGAGAGGATCGAATGAGATAACATACCTAACTTTGCAAACTTTAAGGTGCTATATGAATGCTAGTTGATATCATTTATTAAGTATTTATTCCACACACTGTATCAATCTCAATATAGAGACAAATGGTTAAACAGAATAAAATAGTACACAAAGGGGACAACCAACAAATTGTCAGTCTGTCAATAAAAATGTATTAAGCACCTACTACGTCCAGGTACTGTGCTAAATGCTGGGGTTACAGAGATAGGTAAAAGACAATATGTTAAAAAACATTGTCTATGGAACTGTGCTCTTGAGTAATTTTATTTTGGAGCAAAATGTCTTCTTGAGTTGTTTTATTTTAGGGAGAATGTATTGAATTGTTTTCTTGAGTTTCTATTTTGGGGGGGGGGATGGGGAAGGTAGAGTAGAGAGGGTCCAAACTTCTGACTTCAAGGGTATAGGGAACTTCCTGTGTGGAAACTCCATCCCTGATACATGTCAACAACACTCCTATACCTTACAATTTTTGAATGCTGACTGGGAGCCCTGACAGATTGAGTGTCTTGCCAATAGTCATATAACTTTTGTGTATCAGAGACAGGACTCAAACCCAGGTTTTCCTGATTCCAGAGCTGGCCTGTTAAACACTACTCCATGAAGCCCTTCATAGTTGTAAACATATATATTTAGTTGATCTTAGTGAAATGTTAAGGTCCCAGAGGGTGAGGATTTGTCTCACTTTTGCCTTTGTGTCCCTAGTGCTCAGGTCAGTGCCTGGCACATAGTAGGAGCTTAATAAAATGTTTGTTGATTGTGTTGTTGTTTCAAGTAAAGTGTATAGTAAGTAATCTCTTATTATTGTTACCCCCTCCCCCCCTTAAATAAGAGATTTTAGGCTGGCTAACTTCCTTCCATAAACTTTTAATAAGCATTCACTTACTCTATGCAAAGCCCTCTGCTGGGCTCAGCAGAAACAGGGATAAGTAAACAGGGGCAGTTCCTAACCACAGTATAATATTTAGACAGTGTCATCATTATACCATCATTTTTACAAATTGTCCCAAGAACATAAAAGGAACAGGATGGCTTGCAAAACTCAGAGAGTTCCCTGTAGATGGGGAAGGTTATACAAAGGGAAGGAAGTAAATGAAAAACACCCTTCTGCACCACAAGCTAAGCCCTGCTATGACTCAGCCTAGAACAGCTGAGACTGGGACACCAGTATTCTATAAAAAGCTAATCCCAGAATCCTCCCCAAATACTTAGTGTCACTAGTTTTTACCGAAACTCAGACATCTAGAAGCAGCAGATTGAGGTGGAAAGAGTCCTCCCTGGGTTGGCAATCAGAAACCCTGGATTTCAGTTCCAGCTTGGCTGTTTAATTAGCTTTGTGATCCTGGGAGCCTCAGTTTCCTCCTTCATAAAATGGGGACAATAATCCTTACACTATGCACCTCATAAGGATGTTATAAGGAAAGTGCTTTGGGAACAGTAAAGGACCATAGAATGGGAGCTGGCATTATCATTATTTATAGGAATTAATATGTTGTCTTGACAAATAGGAACCTGGATGGTAGTAGGTGATCTTTTTTTAAAATTTTAAGCAGAATGCTCCTTTGATTCTTTGCTATTGCCAACAACTGCCTTGCATCCCACTCTTATCTGTCCTACTTCCCCAGGCTGGTCTACTTTGACTAGTCTGTCACTTGTGAAAATTAGGAGACCCAAGTCTTTGGCTCAATATCAAGCTTTAGTCATGGATAGACAGAATCTTTTAGGACCCGGAATGTCAGAACATGAAATATTAGAGCAGGGAGGAAATATTAGAGCACCTAGCTCAATCCTCTTATTTTACAGGTGAGGAAACTGAGGCCCAGAGGGAAGTTTGTTACCCAAAGTCATATAGCTAGGTAATGGCAATTGTGTTGGGGTGGGAGAATATAATTCTTTTTGCTCCTCAAGTCTTTTTTTCACTCTGCATAGAGTTTGGAGTCAGGAAGATTTATCTTCATGAGTTCAAATCCAGGCTCTGGCACTTACTAATTGTATGACCCTGGGCAAGTCACTTAACCCTGTCTGTCTCAGTTCCTCATCTTCAGTTCTTTCTTGGAGAAGAAAATAGCAAACCACTCCACATCTTTGCCAAGAAAACCTGAAATGGGGTCACAAAGAGTCAGACACAACTGAACACCCTGACTGCAGCTCCTTTGCAGATGATGTGAGATCTATGATAAGCCTTTTCTCTGAAGGTCAAAAGTTATCAAAGGTAAGGGCTGGTTGTAAGGAAGCTGCTTTTAATGAAGAGCCACAGTTGACTAAGGGGCACCTGAGCTCAATGTTCATGCCCTGGAGAGCAGGCAGGGACACAATGAGTGATTTAGAGAAGCAGGTTAAAAGAAAAGGAGGTGTGTTCTGCTGCAGAATTGAAGGTCTAGCTTGGTGAGGAACACCCCATCTTTCCTGCAAAAACTAATAGAGTGGATTAGAGGTGTTTGGCGCCAATAAAATCATATCGGTCCTCATTCCCCAACACCTTTCCTCCTTCAAAGCTACAAATTTTCACACCTGCCTCTCACTTTCTGAGTTGAGTACCTGCCCCTCAGTGCAGTTATGACCTAACCACTGTCCATTACCTAGAGCATGCGGAGCTGTCCGAGGTGCCCTGGAGGACATTAGACTCCCCCTTCTCAGTACATCCCCTCCCTCCTCCATTCCACTTCCTGGCTGGAGTAGGCTGAGGACAGGCTCTGTGCTCTAGATCAATGACTGATGAGGAAGACTCCTCCTCCCCTCCTGCCCTCCTCCTTCCTTTCGGGTGGGACCCAGGGAGTCTGGGGGAGCAGGCATAGATGGGGTCTGATCAGCTTTTCTGGATCTTTTCCAAGTTTCTCTATCTCTCTTGATGGGCACCACAATTCTCCCAGTCATTCAGATTCAAAGCTTTGGAGCAGCCCTCAACTCATCTCTTGTACTCACTTCACAGAGCCAATCTTTTGTCTAGTCTTGTCAATTCTATCCATACAACATCTCTCCACGGACACAGCCACTATCTTAGTTCAGATTTTCATCACCTCTTACTCATATAAATCTTCTAACTGGTCTGCCTGCCTCAAGTTCCCTATTCCAATTCATCGGCCACTAGGCCAACAAAGTGATTTCTCTAATGTGCAGATCTGACCAGGTCAATGAATTCCAGTGGCTCCCTGTTAACTCCTGATCAAATACTATAACTATACTATGTTTTATATATGTGTGTGCATATGTACATATATGTGTGTACATATACACACACACACATATATTCATATGCAGCCAGCTAAGTGGTATAGTGGATAGAGGATCAAGCCTGTAGTCAGCAAGACTTGACTTTGAATGTGACCTCAGGCACTTACTAGCTGTGTGATCCTGGGCAAGTCACTTAACCCTCAGTTTTCTTCATCCATTAAATGTGTTGGGAAAGGAAATATCAAACCACCCCAGCGTCTTTGCCAAGAAAACACCAAATGGGGTCACGGAAAGTCAGACACAACTGAAAAAATGACTGAACAACACACACACACATACTATATTACATATATGAAAAACTATATAAACCAAAATTCATGCTTTTTCTCATCCTTTTTAAAATGTCTATTTTGCATAAATTTTATAATGTATATTTCAAAACAATATTATTTGTATGTCATTTATAAGTAAGGAAATATACACATATTCCCGGCATGACTCAAGTGTTTTACCGATAGAAGTGGGCAATAAAAAAAATGTCCTACAATGAAATCTCTATTCTGATGAAAAGAAAAAAATCCCAAAGCAATAAAATGGTACTAGGGTTGGGAATACAAAAAAGCACAAATAAAACCTTTTCCCTCAAGGAACCAACATTCTATCTGGACAGCTAATTTGTGTACACAAAAAATCAACAAGCATTTTACAGAGAAGGAAACTGAGACCCAGGAAGCTTAAGTAACTTTTTCAAGGTCACACACCTACAAGTTTGTCTCCATAAGCTAGCCAAATTATTGTTGTTTGTCCTTCATTCTTGAGGAGTACCCTGACATCAGGAAGATGATGTTATGAATTGCAAGTGAATTGGATTTAAGTGAGATAGAGCTGTGCAGAGTCACCAGTCTCACTCTCTCCTCTGGAGTCATCTGGGTCCAGTGGCAAGATACAGACAAGTAAATGCTCCGTGACGGTCCATTAAAGGCAATTCCTTTCCCTCCCCAACTCAACCCCACCATCCTACATGGCTGACTAAGCGTGTGCTATGCTGGCAATTTCTGGAAATAAGTGAAAGGGACAGGGCTATGGACCAAAAGTTAGGTTTGAAGAAATCCTGATCTCTTTGGTGTCAGTGTCCCAAAGTTCTAACCAGCACCATCTGGGGAGTTTTGTTTGGAGACAGCCCTGGGACTCTGATCACAGTGATTTGTGCTTTCTCCTCGACTGTAAGCTACTTGAGTACAAGAGCCATTTTTTATTTCTTACATTTTTCTTTTCAGATTTTTTTTTTGGGGGGTGGGAATCCTCTCCCAAAAGACCATCTCACACCCTGAATTCCCTTGCTGTTTTATGCCCCTGATGCACTTCTCTCTTTTGCTGGGGCAACAATGGTTCTCACTTCCCAGAGTTCCTTATGTTTGACGAGGGACAGCTCTTGATCCATAACTACATTAGAAGGGAGGTATTACCAGTAGGACAAATCTCATTCTACTGATGAGGAAACTGAGGATCAGGAAAATGAAGTGACTTGGCCAGAGGCACTTAAATCTCCATCTCCTCTGAAAGGCAGTGCGGTATGGTGTTTAGAGCACTGGACTTCAGGGAGACCTGGGTTTGAATTCCACCTCAGATACTAACTATGTGATACTGGGCAGGTCATTTCATCTCTCTAAACCTCAGTTTCCTCATCTGTAAAGTGAAGGGATGGATGGGGCAGCCTCTGAGTTCCCTTTGAATACTGGCTGAGCTCAAAGGTGGCATAATGGATAACACTGAACTTGAAGCCGGGAAGACCTGAATTTGAATCTGAGATTACCTCTCACCTACTCTTACTTTCTTGGATGCACCTAGTTATTTACATGTTTGTCCAGTAGGAATAAGGTCCTTTTTCTGATACTTACTATCTGTGTTACCTCCATCAAATCATTTCACCTTCTTGGCTTTAGTTACTTTATCTGCAAAATGAGAGCATTGCACTACATAACCTCTGAGGTGACTTCCAGCTCTCAATCTATAATCCTACCACCTTGTCTCAGGGACCATATTTCCTACTTTCTTTGTATCCTCAGAGTTTTACATAGTGCCTAACCCATAGGAAGTGCTTAATATTGACTGGCAGACTGACTGACTGATGGAATCCTGCCTCAGACACTTGCCAGCTTTGTGACCATGGGCAAGTCTTGCTGCCTGTGATCTTGAGGTTCCTCTTCTGTAAAACAGAATAATAGCACTTCCCTCTCAGGGTCAATGAGAGGCTCAGATGAGATAATATACTTGCCAGGCTCTGGGCTATGCATTTTACTATTATCTCATTTTAAGGACCTACTATGTGCCAGGCACTGTGCTAAGCATTTTATAAATATTATCTCATTTGATCCTCACAACAATCCTGGGAAAGATGCTATACAATGAGGTACAATGTAATGAGGATTTAATTGTAGTTATTAATTACTTGGGTATGTGGTCCATATGTTTGAGAGTCAGAGTATGGGAGTTATGGAGAAAATGGTTGTTATGACCCAGCCACAATGGTATGGCTGCCATCAGCATCCTTGCTGATCTCAGGTTAACAGAGGTACACAGCTTCCCTTCAGGGTCAAATACAATGGAAGCCATCATGGAGGGATTCTCAGAACTGTGCTTACTGGGGCCATGGGGTTATCCAAGCTCTGGATGATATTAATAACAGCTGACATTTATATAGGGCATTTGGCATGCAATATCTCCCTTGCTGGGGAATTCAGCATGGTGAAGTGAAAAGAACACTGCTCTGGAGTCAGAGGTCCTGGGTTCAAATCTTGCTTCTGATGCTTAGTACCTGTGTGACCTGAAGCAAGTCTGTGATCACAAAAATTCTGGATTTTTTTAAAATTAGCATTGCAAACCCCATTTTGTAGACAAGGAAACTCAGGCACAGAGGAAGTGACTTGCCCACACAACTAGGAAGTAACAGAGGTGGAATTTAAGACCAGGGTTAGGTGGATTCCAGGACTAGTTTGCTTTCTATGAGGCCATGTTGTCTCTCCTAGGTTATACTTGACTCTTCACCTTACATGGCAATTTACCTCATGGTACAATGTTAACAGATCTGGATGTTGAGTCAGAGGGCTTGGATTCAAACCATAGCTTTGCTGCTTACTACCTGGGGACCTTTATGCAAGTCACTCCTTTTCTCTGGGCCTCAGTCATCTCATTTGTAGAATGAATTGATTGGAATAGAAGGGGTGTCTAAGGTTCCTTCTAGCAGTAAATACTGAGTCTTCACCTCAAAGGTCTCATCCCATCCTAATCACCAAGAGGATTTGTTCTCCCTCCAGTATCTTCAGTCTTTCAAATGAGTAGAAAATCCTTTCTCTTTCCTCACTCTACGACCCCCAACTCCCACTGGATGATGTACCTGGGTCCTGGATGAAGCCCACTCCTCCTCAGTCAGACACCAAGAAAAACTGGCCATCCCTACTTAGGGGAGAGGGGCAACTTTGCTTTGGTGATGATGGGCAGTGGTGGTTCAAGGCCCTTTGGAAGGGCTATGAAACTGTCCATATCCTTTGACCCAGCAATAGCACTTCTAGGGCTGCAAACCCAAAGAGATCATAAAAAAGGGGAAAGGACCCAGATGTACACAAATATTTATAGCAGCTTTCTGTGGTGGTAAAGAATTGGAAATTGAAATGTCCATCAATTGGGGACTGGCTGAACAAGTTATGGTATATGAATTAATGGAATACTATTGTGCTATAAGAAATGATGAGCAGGCAGACTTCAGAAAAACCTGGACAGACTTATATGAACTGATGCTGAGTGAAGTGATCAGAACCAAGAGAACATTGTACACAGTAAGAGCAACACTGTGCGATGACCAGCTTTGATGGAAGTAACTCTTCTCAGCTGATCAAAGACAATTCCGAAAGAATCATGATGGAAAATGCGATCCACATCCAGAGAGAGAATTATAGAGTCTGAATGTAGGTACAATAGTATTTTCTCTCTCTTTTTCTCTTTCTTGTGGTTTTTCCCTTTTGTTTCTGATTCTTCCTTCATAACACAACTAATGTGGAAATATGTTTAGTATAATTGTATATGTATAGCCTATATCAGATTGCACGCTGTCTTGGGGAGGGTGAAGGGAAAGGTAGGAGAAAAAAATTTGGAATCTTATAAAAGTGAATGTTAAAAACTATCTTTACATGTAATTGGAAAAAAAAATGCCATTGTTAAAAAAAAAAGGCCCTTTGGAATGCTCTATGCCAAGACTGTGAGAACATACTCTCAAGGAGTAAAATGTTGATTTTTTTTAATCCACGATTTAATATTTTTTAAAAAAAAACCTTCTGTTTAAGGAAACACTTTTAACAACATAAAGGTGTTCTTTTGAAATACAATTTTATTTACAAGGTGATTTTAATTGGTCTTGTAAGATTTAAAAGTTACCAGGAGCATCTCCTGGAGGAGGCAATGCTCACAGAATTATAAAGTTAAAGCTGGGAGAGATCTCAGAGGCCATCCAGCCTCTAATTTTACAGATGAGAAAACTGAGGCACAGAGAAATTATCTTAAGGCAGGATTTGAATACAGGTCTCCATCCCTCCAAATCTAGCTCTCTAGCTGCCTTTTTCTGTACCTAAGGACAGGGGATGGGGGAAGGAGTGAACTTTGGGCTTACCTGAAAAAATCTTCCCGTCCAGAGTCAGGAGGGCTGCCCCCACTGGAAAGTTACTGTAGGGACAGTAGGCAAACTCCTTGGCTTCTTGGCTCTTGTGAATGAGCTGCTCAATCTGAGCTGAATCTAAAGGCCCGAGGGCGCTTGGGCACCGGGCCAGAACAACGGGTGGTTGAGCCATGAGGAGCTCTTCTCTCAGGTCGGCAGTAGGCAGAGAGCAGGCAGGCAGTAGCAGCGACCGACTGGGGATGGGAGCTAGGCACCAAAAGAGTGTTGGCTGGAGCAGCCAACTGGAGCCGGGGCTTGGAGCCATGACTCCACCCCTAATCCCTCCCCCTCATGGGTGTGTTCCCTGCTATCTGGGAGAGCGTTTGCCTAGTAGGAGTAACTTCGGATGGGTGTGTTAAGAGTAGAGGGTGGAGTTCCCAGCCACCTCTGTCCCAGCTAGTAAGCTGGGGAGTGGGGGCAAGGAGATACTCATTATGTGCTCCCAGGCCTCAAAGGTAAACTACCCTTCTGAGCCCAGGTCGGTGAGCTCCAGGTTCCCCTCTCCTCCTTGTGCTCTGGCGTTGAGAATCTGCTGACACCCCAGATGAGAGGAGGAGGGGGAAAGTTGGAAAAATACCAACATCTCCTACTCTGAAACACAGAAGGAGCCAACTCCATTTCACAAACATTAAAAAATATTATTGCTAGTTTTGTTTTTACAGCGTCTTTATTTCTGAATATACCCCTATCCTACCCCAGGTCATTTCTTGTAACATAGAATTTTTAAAAAAGAGGGAAAAACAGTTCAGCAAAATCAACCTATCAATTAAGTGAAACAGAATATCAGATATTCCATACCCATTGTCCCTTTTCTCAACAAAGATGAAAGAATGGGGCCTAGTTTCTCAGTTATGTTAATTACACAACCCTTGGCTTGGAATTTTCGTTCTTTCCAGTTACATCAGGGATTCTTAACCCAGGGTCTCTGAACTTGAAAAAAGAAAAAAGACAACTATTTCAATATAATCAGTTTCTTCTGTAATCCAATAGATTTGATTTTATTCATTTAAAAACATCATTCCGAGATGGGGTTCACAGACGACCAGACATTGCCCAATGGGTCCAGAACTCAAAAAAGGTGAAGAATCTCTGGTTTAGGTTGTAAATGTCATTTTGTACTTTGTTTTCCCTGGTTCTGCTTACTTTATTTAGCATCAGTGTAGACATGCTTCTCTGAATTCCTTTTATTCATTTTTTTGTATGGCATAGAACTACTCCATCACATTCATACCCCCAATTCTATCACCCACCAGGTGCAAGGTACTGTGCCTTAGGATCTTGGAATGACACAACTGAGGTGTGAGAGGCAACTTAGAGGGACATAGAGACCTAGAGAGGGGATGTGAGTTGCTCTGGGGTGGGAGTAGGGAGTTATACATGCCCTTGCAGGACTCTTGGTTACCGCTAAACCACCTTTCACCCCTGTTCATTCAGCTTAAGTCATGTTTGCCAATGATCTTTTCTGTGTAACATGGCATGGCGGATGGAATGCTGGCTTCTGAGTCAGACCTGGGTTCAAGTTTTGCTTCTGAGTTATGGGGGATGCTCAACCCTCAGCAGGTGATTTACCCTCTCAATGCCCTGAGCAACTCTTTAAGACTACAAATTGCATCTGATTTGCTTTGGCTAAAGGGAGTTCTTCCTTGGAGAGCTCCCTATGCCAATGAAATCAGATATTCAATTCAGGAAAATAAAAAATGCTTGAGACACAATACTAGGAAAGCACAGATGGAAAAGTGCCCCAGTTCTATTTTCAGAAAATCCAATGGGGGTGGGGAACTGGGAGAATCTGTGTATATGAGGCTTTTTGACAATTTTTTAAAATTCAAAGATGACTTGAGAGGTAGTAGGTCCCCCGCCCCCCCAAGTCTTTCCAGGGAGGACGAAAGATCACTTCTAAGGAATGTTGCTGAGGGGTTTTTTGCATAAGTATGGGATTCCTTCCTGGAAATTCCTTCAAGATCAGGGATTCTCTGGTCCCTTTCTCTCTTTAATCTCTCATTGTTACCCTCAGTGACTAAATTAGCAAGATATCCCTTTCTTTTAGCCAGCCCTTAACCCAAGGATTACCCCTTTTGAATGTATGAGACAGCAGCATTAAAAGAGAGCAACATTTCAAATCCCAAACACTTTCCTGAGGAAAACAATGGAAAGGGGGAGGGGCTGGGGCACTGAGGGGAAAGGAAAGCTTCCGAGGATTTTAGAACTGTGGTTTCAATTTGTATAGGGAATACCAATGCAGATGAGCACCTTCTCTGTAATTTCCATATGGTCTTAAAGTAGGGACCCCTACTTTGAGCCATTTTTGGGTCCTGAACCCCTTTGCCAGTTGGGTGAAGCCCATGGACCCTTTCTCAGAACAATGTTTTTAAATGTACAAAATAAAATAAAATGTATAGGATTACAATTGCCGGGAAAAACTGGAAAGCAGTCTGGCAAAATTAGGTATAGACCAGTATCTTTTTATGTTTGCCAAGATAAGGTCAAAATGGATATGTGACCTAGACATAAAGGGAGATAGCGTAAGTAAATTAGAAGAGCACAGGATATATTACCTATCAGAATTATGGATAAGAGAATTTATGAATAAATAAGAGATAGAGCATTGTAGGGTGTAAAGAGGACAATTTTGATTATTCAATTAAAAAGGTTTTGTACAAATAAAACCAATCTAACCAAGATTAGAAAGAAAGCAGAAAACTGAGGAAAATATTTTATAGCCAGTTTCTCAGATAAAGGCTTCATATCTCAAATATATAGAGAACTGAATCAATTTATAAGAATGTGAGTCATTCTCCAATTGATAAGTGGTCAAAAGATATGATCAGACAGTTTTTGGAAGAAAAAAATCAAAGCTAAATATAGTCATATAAAAATTATCTAAATCATTTTTGATTAGAGAAATGTAAATTAAAATAACTCTGATGTGCTACCTCATACCAATCAGGCTGACTAAAATGATAGAAGTGGAAAATGACAAATGTTGGAGGGAATATGGAAAAATTGGGACACTGATACACTGTTGGTAGAATTGTGAACTGATCCAACCATTTTGGAGAGCAATTTGGAATTACGCCTAAAGACTTACAAAACTGTGTATATCCTTTGACCCAGCAATACTACTATTAATAATACTATTAGGGAAAAAGGAGAAGAACTTACACATTTTAAAAGATTTACAGAAACTCTCTTTGTGGTGGCAAAGAACTGGAAATTGAGGGGATGCCCATCAGTTGTGGAATGGCTGAATAAATTGTAGTATATGAATATAATGGAATACTATTGTGCTGTAAGAAGTGACAAGCAAGTTGGTTTTAGAAAAACTTGGGAAGACTTGCATAAAATAAGGCTGAGTGAAATGAGCAGAATCAAGAAAACATTGTATACAGTAACAGCAATATTGTTTGAAGAGTAACTGTGAATAACTAAGCTATTCTGAGTAATATGATCATTTAAGTCAATTACGAAGGACTTATAAAGGAAAATGCCATGCACCTTTAGAGAAAGAACTGATATATAGAAGCTTATATTGTATCTCTCTCTCTCTCTCCCTCTCTCTCTCTCTCTCTCTCTCTCTCTCTCTCTCCCTCACTCCATCTCTCTCTGTGTATATATTCATGTGTGTGTGTGTCTGTGTGTGTATGTGTATGTATAAGTATGATGTTGGTCTTCTCTAATGCAGGGTTGGGAGGGAGACAATGTGGGACTCAAAATGTCAGAAAACAAACAAATAATAAATGAAAATGCTTAGAATTACAACTGAAATCAATTATACTGAAATAAGTTATCGATTAAAAGTATGTTCACAAAATTTGGAACTAAAATTTTATTAAAAATGTCAAAAATTGTCTTTACATGTAATTGGAAAGAGATATAATACTATTAAAAAAGAAGTAAAGATATATATATGTATATGTATATGTACATATATATATATATTTTTTTCCCCCTCCCACAGACTCCAAGTTAAGAAACACTATTTTGGGGAGTTACCTAGAGCAATGAGAAATTAAGTGACTTGTCCAGGATCACACCACTGATAATATATGACCAGTCAAAAGTGGGACTCAAACCCAGACCTTCCTGACTGGATCTCTATCCACTGTGTCATGCTGTCTCTTGAATTGAGAGCTGTAAGGGGCCTTGGAGGCCAAGCCCTTCATTTTGTGGATTAGGAAACTAAGGTCCAGAAAAAGGAATAATTTCCTTAAAAAGTCATCTGGGTGGTGAGTGTTGGATCCAGGATTCAAATCCAGGTTCTCTGATTCCTAATCTAGATCTTTCCCTTACAAACCTGGGAGGAAAGGAGGAGAAGAGAAAGAGGTGTCAAAGAATCCTCCAAAATATAGAAACTCAGAGCTGGAAGAGACTTCAGAAACAAAGGATTCTAGAGCTCATTTTATAGATGTGGAAACTGAGACCCTGAGGAAGTAGATTACTTGTCCAAGGTCCCACAGCCAGTCAGTGACAGTGGAGACTAGAACCCTCAGACTTTGCCAGGCTTGTTTTGTTAAAGTCACAGTTTGGTGTGAATGGATCAAGAGCCGGGGTCAGCTTCCAGATGTTGCCAATAGCTGGCTACCTATTCTTGTAACTAGGTAGGTCACTCACTATGCAGTCAGTAGGGAAAGGAAGTATGGAAACACACTCATTTGTCAACTTGTTCTTGGCGGCCTCCTCTCCCCACCCCACCCCTCCGAATTCGTTACAGTTCAAAGCACATTTTAAAAGTATTGCTTAAAAGGTCTCTCTTGCCCCCTCCTCCTTTCCATTTAGAAAATAGGGAGGCCTGCCCAGTGAACTTAATTTCTTTTTCTTTTTTAAAATATATATTTTAGGCTTAGATTCTTACAATCTAGCCACTAGCTCACTAATGTTCAGACTCCTTAAGAGTCTCCCCAATATGACAGATGGTCTAACAAACCTTGTCTTTGGCTAAAAAAAATGTATATTATATATATACATATATAGATAGATAGATAGATATCCCCCAATTACATGTTAAAACCATTTTTAAACAATTTTTAAAAGTTTTGAGTTCTAAATTTCATCCCTCCCTCCCTCTCCCCCCCCAAGATGGTAAGCAATCAGATACAGGTTATACATGTACAATCATGTAAAATATTTCCATATTAGTCATTTTGTACAAGAATACTTGAATAAAAGAAAAAGAATGAAAGAAAGAAAGTGAAAAATAGCATTCTTCAGTCTGTATTTAAACATTGTCAGTTCTTTCTCCAGGGGCCAACAGTAAGCTTCATCATTAGTCCTTTGGGATCG